GCTCAACGATCAAAAAGGACTTGTAATGAAGCTGAGTCTGAACGAGGACCTCCAACTCAACGACGATGTAGAAACTACGGAATAGCTGGACACAACTCACGGACTTGCCAGACAGATAGAGATGCTCCTTCTGAACCATATCCTAGCATAGCAGATGTATAACTAAGTATGTGGTTGAATAAACAACGGTTGTAGTCACCTCAGTTGTAATGCCAAGACAAAATGGCCCGTTCGGTGATTTGGCCCGCTCGGTGATAGATTACGTTATATATATATATACATATAAAGTCTACACGGTCGCGTCCTCTCTCATCCCATACAGAGGCCGAGCAGGATATATAATTCCATCATCGTTTTCCGCCCACCCACCCACCTACCTCTAGGGCAACCTACCTACCCACCTACTTCCCTAGCGAGGTACCTGGAGACGACGATGAGATTGCTGCAGCAGCGATGCATCTCGCGCCGATCACAGTTCATGCACGCACCCCTCTAAAATTAACAGCAATAAATAGGTGATAAATTGCATGGTGCATATGAAGCCGAACTCTTGGGGAAGGGAGAGAAGTCGAGAGTCTCCCAAGCTGGAGGTTTGTTTTTTTTTTTTCGCAACAGCGCACCACCTACATTTCTCACCTTCGGTTTGTTTTTGGTCAACAGCTCGGAACACTTTCCGGCCGGGGTATGTATTATTATAATATTACAATATTGCGCGTGGAAATTGCTCGATCCATCCATGTCCTGTATGGTCTCTTGCGCGCATGCGGTACACCGTACACGCACTCTCTCTACTCTCTCTCACACATACACACACCCTCTCACACTCTCTTTCTTTTTCTCTCTCGCTGGCTCGCCCACACACACACATCCTGGATACTGATGAAAGCCGATCTGCCATCGGGGAGAACGTGCTCGCGCCTGACGAAAATTGAGGAGAGGTCTAATCTCCAGGAGGCATCGTAGGAGCAATGGCGCCAGGACGGCGTCTACGTGGGAAAAGATCTCGGAACCTCATCCAGGAGACAGACTGTTCATGTAGGCGAGGCGAGGCGAGAGGGACCGGAGCTGAGTCCTATTCCGTGGGCCGGGCGTACAGGACAGAACGGCAACAATCCCTCCACACTCGTGCGGAATGGGATGATTGAAATGATCATATGGAAGTTGCATGTTGTGGGTCGGTGGCATGAAACGTCGAGGCCGCGCTGTAGATCTTGGACTCGACCCCATGTTTTGTCGTTCCTGGATGAAAAGGGAATTCATGCGACGAGCGTGTTCCTTTCGTGTCAGTTCGTGCGCAAGTGACTCCCTCCGAGATCATGAGTCCATCGCAAACTGGGCCAAGTCGACCACGCCGTGGTGGAGCGAGATGTGTCAGCCGGTCGATGTCGACAACGTGCGGAAGAGACCACGGTAGGTGCATGGCGATTCCGCATCATGCTCAGGACGGGCGAAAACGTTCTAACTTCCGCATTCGATCATGAATCGGTGGACAAATCCGACAGCGTGCAGGTGTTGATGGAGTGGATCGTGTCGTCGTCGGAATTGCGAGTGGAATCGAAGCCCCGAAATGACGTAGCTCCCTACAGTTTTTTGGCGTGGAATTTCTTGACGATCATCGTCTATCTGAGAGAGGCGTTGGAGATCTTACGACACGCATGGGAAATCAGCTCTCCCTGGGTCGTGCATCTTCCTTCGTTGATTTCCTATAATAATCATCATCACCCTGCTTGAAGCCGCCTTTCTGTCGGACATCAATCCCAACAGACGCGCCATTCCCTCAAGAAGTTGGTGCAAAGTCTGGCGCTTGGAAACAAAATCAAATCGCTGTTCTAACGTTAAATCGACCATTCGCCTTACAGCCCACAGCCTGCCTACTCAGGTCGACCTTCGAACTCATCCTCCGGTCCCGAAAGAAACAAGAAAATAACACCAACAAACAAGCATTCCTACAGCATTCCCGACATGTCGACCTCCCAAATCTCCTCCGCCGCCCAACGCGCCTTCACCGCCGCCGCCGCCTACGACACCCACCGACCCTCCTACACGTCCCCCTCGGAAGCAGATGCCTCATCCTCCTCCTCCAAGGCCCTCCAATTCCTCCTCGAACAGACCCGCGTCGCCGGCGTCCAGGGCGCCCACCTCCTCGACCTCGGCGCCGGCACGGGCAAATTCACCGAGGCATTGGCCGCGCGGCCGGAGAACTACCGGATCACGGCGGCGGAACCGCACGCGCAGATGAGGGAGGTTTTGGTGAAGAAGGATCTGCCGGGTGTGACGGTGATCGAGGGCGGAGCAGAGGATCTGAAGGGGTTCGTGGACGAGGAGAGTGTTGATGCGGTCTTTGCGGCTCAGGTATGGTTTTTGTCGATTTGGGTTTTCTCTTTTGGGTTTTGCTGCCAGCCCTCGCCCTTTCCCTACTGGCATTGAAGATGGATCAGCATCAAAATCTGGATGGAGACTGTCGGAATCTCCACACATTCGCCTACCTCCTCCGCGACGATCATATCGCATCCTTTCCTCTCCCTATCCCTGTCCAACCCGTCCTCGACTAAGCTACCTTCCTTCAACTCACCACCCCCACTCTTCTAACCTCTTCCCTCTCCACAGGCCTTCCACTGGTTCGCAACCCCGCTGGCCCTGCACGAGATCCACCGCGTCCTCCAACCCCACGGCGTCCTCGGCCTGATCTGGAACGCGGAAGACTACAACAGCCCGCGCACGCACGCCGCGACCGAACCCTGGCTCGGCAAACTCCAAGACCTCCTGTACTCCTGCGAACCCGACGCCCGAAATCCATCCCAGGAAGACGACCATCCCCGGTTCCGTCACATGCGCTGGCGCGAAGTCTTCGACGACGCGCAGATCCGGGCCAACCCTTTCAAATTGATGGTGGCCGGGGTCACGAGCACGCTTGGTCTGGATGGTGGCGAGGAGGAGAACGCTGGAGATGGCAAGGCGCGGGAGGAGGGGAGCAAGAGCGGTGCGGCCTCGCAATTGTTTGCGCTGCCCCTGGGCGAGTATAAGGAGCATTTCGAACATTTCCTGACCGAAGAGGAGTTGTGGGGGAGATTCTCGTCTTTGGGACATATCGCTGAGATGGGAGGGGAAGAGAAGCAGGTGAGTTTCTTTTTCTTTTTTGCTTTTCTTAAGACGACATTTTCCCATCTCCTCGAACCGCCTTAGGCTGACCTCATTTCTTTCTCTCACAGCGCGTCCATCAAGCTTTCCTCAAGATCCTGGAGGATCCCTCGGCGGAGAAGGATGCTCAGGGTCGATTGACGGTTCACGGCGATATTCATATCTATTGGACTTCGAAGATCCCATCGGAAGGTCGCTCGACGTTGTTCAGTGTGGAGCGTTCTTGATGCGGTGGGAATGGGAGGTCGTGGGGATTCTTGCAGAGCGAGTGTTCTGCGATCGACAATATAGAACAGGGTATAGAAGGGCATGCAATTTTATTCTGCTCGAGACGAGAAGTACTTGTGATCATTCACTTGAAGGCCCCTCCTTTCCTGATGACGACGGTTTTTGCGAACGATGCCCCTTCCACACCTCGCGCGATTCGTTGCATTTGCATTCGGAAAGATCCCCATCGAACGCACATATCCGATAGCGAGGACCAGTGTCTGCACCCTAGACCAGCATTACAGATGAATTTTGATCGCGATGTCGGGATTCCACCCGCGGCTTTAAGCTTTCGTCGAAAACAGCTGCTGTGAAGCCGTCCACTGACCGATCTCCCGCTCGTCGTCGCGCGAGAATGCTGCCGTCCACATGGAAATCCCACGGTCATTCTCCGGGATTGTCTCGGTGAATTCCACATGAAACCCTTCACGCATTCCGAGGACCCCTCAAACCGTCTCATCCCCAGCGCAAATGTACATGACTGCCATCACACGTCCCCTCGTCAGCCAAAAATTGAACAGGCAGGCGAGTGAAAAATAACCACATGTGCCAGCCATCAGAACGACCACCTTCCAGATCCCCTGTATTCTTCACTTCCCTCGCACACACACGCGCGGGCGCAAAGGTGAGGGACGATGGGACGAAAAGCACTCACCATTATTTCCTCGCACGAAAGCATCGCCGTATTCCCTCCTCGGGCGGCCCTTGACGATTTCTTGCACGCCCTCGAGGGCGATGTTCATGTATCCATCGACGGATTGCAGTTCGCCTGAAGAAGAACAAGGTGGTTTTAGTCATTTGGATCTCTTTCCAGAGGCAAGATCGCCATTTCTCTCCACGTCCAGATTGGTGTCATCTCAACAGGACGAACCTTTGTAGACCACCCCCGAGTTCAGTTTGACCGTGACGGGCCGATGGAGGATCTCGTTCAGGAAGCCAGAGGGGTCGCGGCCGGCAGTGGCGGCGGTGGCGGCTGCGGTCCCGTTGGTTGCGGATGAGTCTTGAGTGTCGGCCATGGTGTTTCGATCTTGTTGAGGTGTATGTGGTTTCGAACGTTTTCTCTGCAGCAGCCTATGAAGTCGGAACTGTTGTTTGATCAATGTGATCGTTAGGGTTATCTTCAGATGAAGTGATGTCAGACTGCGGGTCAAAATGTGTGGTGCTTTCGTTATCGATTGTGAAATTTACATCGCGGGACCGACGACATTCTTGCCCAGAGAAGATTGGCTTTGTTTGTCTGGGAGATCGTTATACAACCGACCGAACATATTCCAAAAGAAACCCAGAACCCAGCAAGAGAGAGAAAAAAAATTCGAATCGCTCATCTGCGAAAGAAAACGACCTCTAGTCCGACGAGTTCGAGATTGAAATTCCCTTCAAAACCACTCCTTTTGTCAAGACCAACCATCAAACCACATATCGAGAGGCCAAAAAAGAACCAAACAGAAACAAGATCAAGAAACAAGAGAAAGGACAAAGATGAAACTCCTCACCCTCAACTTCCTCACCTGCGCCCGGAAATCCTGCAAATCCTCCCCGGCCGCCTTCCCCCTGCACCCGCGCGAGGTCGAACTCGAACAGATCGAAGTCGACCTGAATCCGCTCTTCATTCGAAACATGCTGCCGCGGCTGGATTGGGAGGCGATGCGGGCCGTGACACAGGAGGTACGCGGTGGTCAGATTTCATTCATCCCTCTTCTACTTCTTCTCCTCCCTTTTCGATCAGCCTGGTCGGCCGAGCGAGTCCTCTCGTTTCCTGTCCATCGTGGGCCTCATGTCTCGTAAATTCTTTTCTCCTCACCTGTCCCGAGATCGGCCTCGCCCTTCACTCTGTTCCAATCTCGCCTCCGAAATCCTATCCCTCACCGGACGATCCCCCTCAAACAGGCCCCCCAGTCAAAAATAGTGATAATTTAAAATCTGACGATTCCATCTCCCCACCTATCTAGCTCGGCCTGCCGCCCCTCCCCTCAACCGTCCCGGAGCCGGACTCCCTCGAGATCCCATCCGCACCCGCAGCCACAGATGCGGCGGCGGAGACCGGCGAGGTCGCGACGACGACGGCGCCCTCGCAGACGCTCCAGGACCTCCACACGCTGCTGCTGGAGACGAGCATCGCCAGCGGGAAGCTCGCGTGCGGGAACTGCGGGCACGAGTACGCCGTCAAGGAGGGCATCGCGAATTTCCTGCTGCCGAGCCATTTGGTTTGAACTTGTCTTTTTCTTTTTTTGCTTTTTTCCCGCTCTTATAGGGATTCCTTCTCCTTTCCTTTTTCTTTTCTTTTCTTTTCTTTTGGGGAAAAAACAAATCACGGAGGTAGGGGGAGGGATGGGAAGCGAGAAGAAGGGATCGGAAGGAAAGGAGAAGGAAGGAGAAGGGAGATTTGTTTTCGGGGTCTTTTGGGCGGGAGGCAGGCAGCTAGGGGACTATCTTCCGGATGATTCATCGGGAAGAGGCGACGAGGGATGTCGTGGGTGTGTGAAACAAGGGAGGCTCCGATGGACTGGGACGGGGGGAAATACGTGTGAATCGAAAACAAGGTTTCTTTCTTCATTTGGCTCTGTCATCATGATTTCCCCGAAAAAAAGCCTTTTCATCCTGTTCTCTCCATGGGGATTTTCTTCTACTCCGACGAAAGTTTCCCGTTTCCCGTTTCCCGTTTCCCCAGCCCCCTTCTCTCTATACATTCCTCCTTCCAATCCCCCCATTTTCCAAAGGAGAAGAAACCAACAACACCAAGCCAGATGTGGATTTAAACCCCCCTCCCTTACCAGATCAGCACCTGTTTCTTCCCCTTGTTCCCCTTCCGCTTGCCACCACCCGCACCGCTCCCGTCCTCCGGCGCTTCCGCCGCCGAGGAATTCTCCGCTGTAGTAGCACCACCACCACTCCAAGCGCTCACGGCGACCGGCGCACCCGGCAATCTCCGGATGCCGACCGCGCCCTTCGCCCCGCCGGGTGTGAACAACGTGCTGGAAGGTTTCTGGGCGGCGGGGAGGGCGGGGAAGAGGTCTGCTGAGTTCGAGTTCGACTGAGAGGGCATCGCTGCGTTGGATGGGCCCCGGGAGGAGGAGGCGGTTGCGAAGGAGGACTGCTGGCGGGGGGCGGCGGGGCGGATTGTTGAGGATGATGATGTCTGAGCGGGGGGTCGGGCGGTGGTCCAGTGGGGCGTCGGGGCCGCGGAGGAGGAGGATGTTGCGGCGTTGGGGCGCGAGCGAAGCGGGAGGGTCGGGAATGGGTTGTTGGGGCTGCTGCTGGAGGACGAGCCCCAACTCCCGTGCTTGGAGACGGCGGAGCGGGAACTCTGGGCGGTGGAGCTCTTCAGGCGGAGGACCCGCGATGAGGAGGACGGGACGGACGCCGAGGCCGGACCTGCGCCGGGCAGCGAAGGGTAGTCTTCGTTGATGGCCTTCCAGTTCGACCAGGCGGCGAGCAGGGCGGTGCGCTTGGCGGGCGCCTCGAAGATCTCGGCCAGCTCTTTGATCAGCGTCCCCAGGGCGTCCGAGGCGGAATTGTCGAAGAGGGCGAAGAAGGCGGCGATGAGCTCGGCGGCGGTGATCTGGTCCCGTCGGAAGGAGGAGATGCGCGTGCGGAATTCCTCGAGTTTGCTGGGGTTGTGGTGGAGGAGCTGGGCGGCGCGGTCGGTGACGGCGGCGTGCCGGAGGCGTCGCGCTTGTTCCTGGGGGCTGAGGGCTTCGGCGGGCTGAGGAGGGGAGGCGGCGCCGGAGTTGTCGGCCGTGGCGGGATTGCTGGCGGTGGTGACGGCCGCCGGAGCCGCGGCGGCGGGCACTGGACGACTCAATTGACCGCCGAATGAGCGGCTGGTTTGAGATTGCGTGCCGTGGATCTCCCGCTCGCGTTGGTGAGCGAGTTCCGCACGGCTGACATGGCCGCTTGAAACGGCAGGCATCTGCTCCGCGTTTGGATCACGACCACGACCTCCTCCTCCTCCTCCTCCACCCCTCCGTTCACGTCGGGGCTCGACGTACTGCGGCCGATAATCAAACGCAGAAATGTCCACACGTCGTGCGTCCCGCCGGGCATCCTTGGACAAACCATTAGGATGCGCTTCCAGTTGATGAGCTTTCAGATCCATCTCCGAGTCGAACACGACGAATTTCTTCTCCTGACATTCCTTGTCGTAACAGGGGTAGTGTTGCTTTCCGAAATGCTCCTCCAATGCGTTGTAATTCATGAAATATTGAGGTTTGCGGCCGTCGCTCCTCCGATCGCATAGATGGCAACGCTCATGCTTCTCTCGACAGTGCGTGTAGAGCTCGTCATCGCCGTAGAAGCGCAATCTGCAGAAACCACACTCCGGGTGTCCCTTAAACCCACTCTGGTCGACTGCACCGGGGTTGTCGTCGCCGAATTTCTCGTGTCGTTTAAGCTCTTCCTTGGTGAAGAGTTCATGCTCGTGCGTGAAGACCTTCTTATTCCGGGTGCACAGGTCGCACATGGATTTTTGATGTTGAGTGCGGACATGACGGTGGAGATCCGGCCAGCCTAGACAAGCCACATCACAGTCCCCATCCGGACAGTTGTACCGCAGCAGGAGTAAGGTGTCCTCAAAGATGTCGGCGTTTTCGTAATTGATGCCGAGGGTAGGATCGGTCCGGTAGAAGTCGGCCGATTGGTACTCTTCAAACCGCTTCTCCGGGTCGTCGGTGAAGGTGACGTAGGCCGCCTCGGTTCGACAATGTGCGCACGCTTTGGTCTTGTAGAGCGCGCGGAGTCGGAGCGCACAGATGTGACATGTGCGGTGGTTGCAGGGAGCGACGCTGTTGTGCGCGACGGGCGAGGCACAGATGAAGCACACCTCGGCCTCGACGTCGTCCCCTGCGGGCGCCGCGTCTGCGGCCTCGCCTGTGGTGTTCTCTGCGGCGTCCTTGGTCAGACGATTTTTCCCAAGGACGCCTATACCTCCCGGTTGGGGTGGCGGTTGATGTGCCGAAGGCTGCTGATCGTCCGCAGTCGCCGGTCCTTGAACAGGGGCACGGCTGCCCTCCTGGTGATTTCCTCCACGTCCTCGCCCTCGACCGCGGCCTCGACCGCGACCACGCTCCCCCGACCGTTCACCGCCAGCGCTGTTGGTATTTCCAGATGAGCCGCCGTTGGGGCGTGGGTGTTCGTTCCTCGAATTTCCACCTTGTTGGCCACGAGCTCGACCTCTTCCACGTTGAGCTCCTCCTCTTTCTGACGTAGACGCCGAGCCGGAATTAGCTCCGAGGTTCAAAGACGGCGAGGCTGCGGCTGCCATTGTATGTGAATCTTCTATTGTATACCGTGAGGAATGAAGTGTGAGATGTGTGATTTCTTCCGTAGATTATCTATTTCGAGCGATAAGTGGGAGAAATTGTGGTGAAGTCATGGAATTGCGGCGATGGAGATGGGTTATTGTTGCGATTGCACCCTGCACAGCCCTCTACGGCTTCGAACTCGTCACGGTGACTCATGCGCGTTGTCGGAGGAGGGAAGGGATAGAGGGCAACAAGGTAATGATTGATTGAATGATTGAATGGTATATGCTGTCGGGGTGTTATGTACGCGTGAGGGTTATACTAAGCAGGACTTCCTACGATCATCAACATCATCATCATCACTTGCGCGCACGGGTCCAGTGAATAATAAATAATAATTATAACGTAATCTATCACCGAGCGGGCCAAATCACCGAACGGGCCATTTTGTCTTGGCATTGTAAACAACATCTTTCCTGTTTATTGTATCAACAACGAGACATGTCATCAGATAATCAAGAAGGTAGAATCGATCTTGCTATCAATGCGTATAGATCTGGTCATTTTCGGAGCCAACGGAGCGCAGCTGCTGCTTTCAATATCAATCATCAGATACTCTCTAAGAGACTCAGAGGAACCAGATCTCGCGAGACTATGGCACCAAACTGTCAGAATCT